TTTCTCGTCGCGTGTCAGCCAGAGCCTGCCGTCCACGACCCTCAGCGCCTCCCGCAGGTCCTCGTCCGCGAAGGCCTCGACTACGCTGGCGCCTCCCGCAGGTCCTCGTCCGCGAAGGCCTCCTCTCCTCCTCCTCCTCCTTCTTCTCCTCCTCCTCCTCCTCCTCCTTCTCCTCCTCCTCTTCCTCCTCCTCTTCCTCCTTTTCCAGGCGGCATCGCCGCCAGGGGAAAGGCTGAGGAAAGTCTCCTCCTCCTTCTCCTCCTCCTCCTCCTCCTGATTATCCTCCTGATTCTCCTCCTCCTCCTGATTCTCCTCCTCCTCCTCCTCCTCCTCCTCCTCCTCCTCCTCCTCCTCCTCCTCCTCCTCCTCCTCCTCTTCCTCCTCCTCCTACTCCTCGTCTGCCTCTCCCCGCATCCTCCTAAATCATCACCCCTCCCCCTCCTCCTCCACCCCACCCCCTGCCTGGGCGGGCAGCCTGCCCCCAGGCGCCGCCCGCGGCGTTCGCGTCCTCGTGGGACCCGGTGGCGGTGCCGCTCTTCCCCGCGGCCCCGCGCCCCGCGGCCCGCGCCAGTCGTGCCTTCGCCGCGCCGCCGGCCGTCAGGCCCGACCGCCCCGGGGACGGAGCGGCAGGAGGAGCCAGGCGGCGAGGGAGGGGGAGGAGGAGAGATGGAGGAGATGTGGGGACAGGGGGGGGGGGAAGGAGAGGAGGGAGGAGAGGAGGAGGAGGAGGAGGAGGAGAAGGAGGACGCGGGGACGCGGGGACGCGGCTCGCGACGATGTCGCAGAGTCGCCCGCGGCCGCGGGCGGCCCCCGCGCGGCCCGCGGGCCCAGGCCGCCCTCCAGTGCCTCGTCGGTAGACGTCTGGAGGCCCAGCGTCTCTGCTGAGGCCCTCCTAGGCTTAAGTCGGGCCTGTCCCTCTACAGGGGGGATATTCAAAACATGTTTTTTATTGTTTTTTAAAGGTATGGGGACTATTTTTTGAGTATGTTTGGGCATCCTTGGGGCATTGTTGTTTTTGTTTTCAATTTTTTCGTTGAAGATCCCCCTGTAGGGGGACACGCCCGACCTAATCCTAGGCTTCCCTGGGGGGGGGCCCATCTTCACGCGCTCGGGGGAGGGGGGGAGGAGGCCCACCGCCTCTCGCCGCCTCCTCTCGCTGCGTTTGGGGGGGCCTTCGCGGCGTTCCTGTCGTTTCCCCCGTCGCTGCAGGTGCTCTCCAGCAGCGGCGGGAGGCCCCAGCTTCGACCTGAACGCCAGACCTCCCCTCGCTGCGAGGAAGCCACGGCTGACAGATTCTAGCCGTTTTCGGCCTCTGGGGGCCCTGGCCGCCAAGAGGCGGCCACGGGATGCAGGGCCGGCAATTACAGGGAATGGGGTCCAGACCTCCTGAGGTCCACGCTGTGGAGGGTGAGAGGAAGAGGGAGGAGGGAGGAGGCGGCGGAGGAGGAAGAAAGAAGGAGGAGGAGGAGGAGGAGGAGGAGGAGGAGGAGGAGGAGGAGGAGGGCGAGGACGAGGACAGGGAGGAGGGAGGAGAGAGGAGGAGGGAGGAGGAGGGTGGATGAGGGACGGGGATGGAGGGTGAAGGTGGAGGAAGGAGGAGAAGGAGGAAGAGGAGGAAGGGAAGCAGCAGCAAGAGGGACCAGGAGGGGGGAGGGGAAGGGGAAGCAAGAAAAGGAGCACCAGGAGAAGTCGGAGATGGGGCAGGCTGAGTATGACAATAACATCCGTTCTGCGCTGGGGGCCGCCATGATGTAGGCGTTTGTGGGGATCCTCTGTGTCCCCCCTCCCCCGTTCGTGTTTTTTTCCAACGCTGTCTGCAGAACACTACGTCGTAGAGCTGCAGACTGTAGTCTCACTCAGCGTGAGGGCAGAAACACAGGTAGCGTGAGAGAGGGGGACCGCGCACGAGGCCGGAAACAGATGGACGAGGTCGACGCCCTGAGAAGCCCCCGCGCTACGCGAGAAATGGCTTCCCAGAGTCCCCTCGCCCCTGCACCCCCTTTCGGGTGCTGTGCTTGCACATTGCTCATCTCCAGTTCTTCGAACAGTTCTTCGATTTTTTTGTGGGGGGCCAAGATCCTTCCATTCCTAAGTGCTCCATCCTGGGCCTCTTCCTGGCCACCAGGGGGGCCAGGAACGATTTAGAAGCGAGCACGATTAGAAGCGAGCACGATCAGAAATGAAAAGCGTACCCTTGCCCGATGCGTCACCTCCCCTTTTTACGCCCGAGTTGGCTACGGGGGCTCCCATGGAGTCCAGGATCTGGGCTCCTGTGGAGTCCAGGATCTGCCTCCTCTTCGGGGTGGGCCTCTGCTGCCTGCTCGCCCGCCCCCACCTCCGCCTCCTTCCCGTCCTCTCGTCCCCGTCCCGGCCCCCCCGCGATTTCGAATCACAACTCGGCACGCTTCGGTGGGCGCTTCGTCCTGTCCAACTTCCCCCTCCCTCCCCCTCCTCCCTCCCCCTCCTTCTCCTCCCCCTCCTCCTCATCCTCCCCCATCCCTCCCCTTGCAAAGAAGTCTTCGTCGCACCGCCAGGCGTGTCCGAAGGGAGGTCCCGACGTGTCGCCTAATCCACACATGATGCCGAAGCCCCAAAGCTCGATAAATCAGACAAGAGGCGAGGTTATGCTCTTGCTTTCGCGCCGCGCACGTCCCTGTGAATATCGCAACAGCTACCAGGCTGGAGGGCGCCTTTTTTTCAAACTCTGGCTCTCGCCCTCGATCGGTGCACGTCCGTCGGTACAGTCTCCAACACTTATACCAGTGTGTCAGCATGGTGCTCTCAGATGCCCTCAGTATCTACCACCCGAGTTGTAATCTTGTACAACAGCTACAAGGATGAAGGGCGGCTCTTTTTTCAAACTGGAATTGTCGTTTGAGACATTCTTGCTACGGCTCGATGCGCAAACCTGTATAACAGCTTCCATGATGGAGGTCGGCTCCATTCCAGAGTGGGGCGCTCGCTTGCGACTTGCTCAACGTGTGCGACCCGACGGGTAACAGCGTGCAGCAGCTACACGGAGGGAGGGCAGTTCCGTTTCCGAATGGGGTTTTTCTTCGGTCCTATCGCGCTCATCAGGGCAGCGCTTGACTTGAATAACAGGCCCGAATTGCAGGCCCGTTGGGTGCGTGTCCTGTAGGGGTGGGGGTGGGGCTTCCCGTGGTGAAAAGGAATGCCTGTGCGGACTTACAAGGAGGGGACTTGGGACGTGAGGGTGTGTTACACCATCGTTAATGCACTCCTTCTCATGCGCCTCCTCACCTCCCTCCCTCCCTCCCTCAGTTCCTTCCTTCGTTGCCCCTCCTCCTCCTTCTCCTCCTCCTCCTCCCTCCTTCTCCTCCTCATCCTTCCTCCCCCCTCCTCCTCCCCTGCCTCCGTCCCCCTCCCTGCCTCCCTCCCTTCCCTGCATCTCTCCCTTTCCCGTCGTCTCTCCCCTCTCCCTCTCCTCCTCCTCCTCCTCCTCCTCCTCTCCTCCTCCTCCTCCTCCTCCTTCCCCTCCTCTCTTGTCCCTTCTCTTCGCGCTCCTGCGTGCCAGGCTGCAGGCGCCGGCGGGGATCCTCTCCTTCTGCTTCACGCTGCGCCGGGCGGACTTCGGCGCGGAGATCGGGCTCGACGTGCGGTGCGGGGGCGAAGGCCTGGGGCCTGAGCGCCCTGGGCTCCTCGCTCGTCGCTCCTCGACCTCCTTCGTCCTCCACCCTGCCTCGCTCTCCTCCTCCTCTCCTCCTCCTCCTCCCCTCCTCCTCCTCCTCCTCCTCCTATCTTTCTCCTCCTCCCACCCCTACTCCTAATCTCCTGGTCCCTCCTCCATCTCCCTACTCCTCCTTCTCCCGTCTGGCCTCCTCCCTTCCCCCTCCTCCCCCTCCTCCATCCACTCACTCTTACTCCATCCACTTCTTCCCTTCCCTCTCCCTTCTCCTCTCTCCTCCCCGTTCTCCTGCTCCTCCTCTTCCTCCTCTGCATCCTCCTCCACCCTCCCCCGCCTCCTTCGCATCCTATCCCATCCTTCTTCTCGCAAGCCCCTTGTGTGTTGGAGGAGCTGTCTCTCACGTGGGATGACGTGACGTCGCCAGCGCGTCGAAGGCTGAAGATAGATGGAGATGGTTTTATCGCGGTGCAGTCGGAATGCAGTATTTGGAACATCAGCTCCCGAGAGTACGCGGTAAGGATCAGACATGTTCACAGCCATGTTCAAGATGTGTTGGCTTGTACTGGAGTTCTACCCCGACAGCAGCACGTGTATTCACACCGCCATGTCCGCAGAAAGCGGAATACGGCGTTCGACGCGCTGGCCATTGCAGCCCTGGTTGGCGTGGCCGAGTGCAAGTGGAACACGATGGCCCATGGTAGGAAAACGCCGCAGTGGAACGGCATCGGCGGCTTGGATCCTGTAGACGGCACAGGACCCGTACGCTGGTCGGGAAGTCGCGGCAACGCAGCGCAACGCCCGATCAGCCCAGGGCCCGTCCTGAAACGGAGCACGGGAGCAAGCACGCACGGCTACAATACCTTGGGATTTTCGCCGGGAGCCAAGGCCAAGGAACATAGTTGCAGCAATCCAGGAGTCACTCAGTCCGTCCATCGTTGCCTTGGCCTCCCGCGACGCCGATTAGGCACGGCTGGCAGGAGAGCATGGCTGGTGTCCGCTGGAGCCCAGCAGGCGGCCAGCTGCGCGACGAGGCAAGTAGCTACTGTTCTCGAGGGCCCCTCACCGACTGCGGAGATGCCAGCGCTCTGCCTTCTGCACTGCGCGGTGGCAAAGCTTCTGGTCAGGATTCCGCCCTGCCCAGGTTCATGGCGACTTTAGAGCAGTCAGTTTCGAAAGTGCACGCCCGATGCTGAAGCGGATGACGGGCAGCCACCCGGAAAGTTTCGTCGAGGATCGGTGCAAGTTTGAGTTCATTTGTTATCGGAGTCCGGTCGTAGGTAGCGTAATTCATTTAGCATAAAGAGGAGGAGTTGTTTCATACATTTGTCTTCCCTCCTCCCCTTTCCTCCCTCATCCCACTCCTCCTCTCCCTCCTTCCTCCTCCGCCACCTCTCCTCATCCAATCTTTCTCCTCATCATCAGATTCCCTTCTTCTTATTATTTAATCGCTTCGCTCATTCCGCCGGCCCTGGAGCCCTCTTTAGGGCCTCTTGGGAGTCTCTTGGGGCTCCTTGGCGGCGTCTTGGGGGACCCCAGGGCCTCTTGGGGGGCTCTTGGGGGCCTCTTGGGGCGGGAGGGGGGGTAGGCGATTGCGGCTCCCCCCTCGGAGGCCACGATCCTCGTGAGGGGTGTCGAAAAATTGCCCGGTCCCGCATCTCTGACCCGAGTAGTCTGCCGGGACCCTGCCGGGGTACTTTTCGCCCGGAGACCCCCAGGGGCGGCCCCGCGCGCGCGAACTAGAATATTGTTAACCAGTTACAGGAGATCTTGGCACGCCTTTGGCCCGTTGGGCCGGCGAATTTCTCCTCCTCCCCCTCCTGATGTTTGTTCCCTGTCCTCATCATTTCTTTCCTGATCACGTTTCCCATCTGCCCCTTGTCCTCATCCTCCTTTTTCCCATCCTCCCTGCTACCCATCGTCCTTCTTCTTCTTCTGGGCGCCATGGCTGCGAATGAAGGTCGGTTTCTGGTCGTGCAGCGAGTGCTGCCTGGGGGCATGGTGGAGGCGCTGGGCTTAGACGACGCCGATTATTCGATCGGAGCTTGCCCATATCAGATTCAGGATGATAGCGGCGATGAGGAGGAGGCGGAGGAGGAGGAGCAGGAGGAGGAGCAGGAGCAGGAGGAGGAGGAGGAGGAGGAGGAGGCGGAGGATCACGACGCCGCCTGGAGGAGGGAGGAGCAGGAGCAGGAGGCAGGAGAGATGAGGCTGGGAGGGTTTTCTGGAAGAGGTGGAGGAGGATAATGAGGCGGAGATGCTGGTCCTTCTACTGGGGCTCCGTCCTCCTCGCTCCTCGTCGCTCCTTATCCTCCACGTCGCTCCTCCTCCTCCTCCTCCTCCTCCTCCTCCTTCTCCTCCACTTCCTCCTCCCCCTCTTTCTCCTTATCTTTCCTCTCATCCCCTGTCTGCCCAGCGCTTCGTGAGGGACTTGTAGGTCGAAATGGGGGACGCGCAGTAGCAGCAGCAGCAGTAGCTGTAGCCGCATCAGCGTCATCAGCAGAAGTAGCATCAACAGTATCAGTATAAAGTAGTTGAAGCATTCGCCGCAGCATCAGGAGTCGTAGCCGTCGCAGTAGCCGCAGCGGCTGGAGTTTCAGAAGCCTTGGCAATGACAGCATGTAGCAGCCGCGACGACGATGATGAAAGGAGAAGGGGGGAGGAGGAGGAGGAGGAGGAGGAGGAGGAGGAGGAGGAGGAGGAGGAGGAGGGAGGAGGAGGAGGAGGATGAGGAGGAGGAGGAGGACGAGGAGGACGAGGAGGAGGAGGAGCAAGAGAAGAGGTAGGAGAACGAGGAGGAGGAGGAGGAGGAGGAGGAGGAGGAGGAGGGGAATAATAATGATAATAAGAAGAAGAAGACGAATAAAGAAAAGAAGAGGAGGACGAGGAGGAGGAGGAGGAGGAGGAAGATGATGATGATGAAGAGGAGGAGGAGGAGGAGGCAGAGGCGCGCAGGGGTGGCCACGGCGGGCCCGAGCCCGAGAGAGGAGACCCCGGGCGCCGATCCGCCGCTCTGGGCCGGGGTCGGGCCTCCGCGCGGACCTCTCGCGCTCCCGGGCGGGGGAAGGGTGGGGATCCGGGCCAGGCGGGGGCTCGAGGGGCGAGGAGGCTCGAGGGACGAGGCAGAGCCAGAGGAGGACGAGGAGGCGGAGCGAGAGACCACAAGAGGAGGAGGAGGAGGCGGAGGAGGAGCAGGAGGAGCAGGAGTAAGAGGGAGACGAGGAGGGGACAAGAGGAGGAGGAAGAGGAGGAGGAGGAGGAGGAGGAGGAGCAGGAGCAGGAGCAGGAGGAAGAGGAGGAGCGAGGGATGATAATAAGAAGAGGAGGAGGAGCAGGAGGAGGATGAGGGGTCCGTAGCCATGCTGGCGCAGGACGGAGGCGCTGCTAAGGATTTCTGCGTCTGCCAGGGGGGGAGGTGCGCCCGCGCCAGTTTGCGCGTGCCCTCATTTTGGCACGCATCTCTCAAGCCTTCATTCCCCATGCCGTCACTATGACTCTTTCTTCAGCTCCTGGTACGGCAGGTCCATGGCTCCTTTGGCTCTCCGTGATGGCAAGACAGCTCCGTGGCACCAGCAACAGGGGAGTCAACACATCGGGCCTCCTTCACCTGTGCGTCTTGTGGGTGTCGCAAACACGAGGAAGGGGCCAATGGTGTAAACATTGCGACCAGACCCCTCCGTTTGCCCACACTGAAGGGTCATCGTCCTCTTTTTCGCCCCTATGTGTTTCCTCATCCTCTCCCTGGCCCTCCTCTTCCTCCTTCTGATTTTCCCCACCCTCCCCCTTCTCGTCCGCCCTGTTCTCCTTTTCTCCGCCGCCGATGCGCGCGGCGTTTACGGCGCCTCGTAAAATCATGCGAGGCACAAAGATCATGCACGCTTACAACATCAATAGAGAGGGGCTGGGATGGGAAAGAAGAGCGCGTCGTTTTTCTGTCGCACGCGCCCCATTCTCGCGCGATTTGATGCCGAGGCGGTAACTATCTACAGCGAAATGCCGATCCAGCTTCTTCAGTCAGCCTGCGTGCCACATGCGGAATCGCAATTTGCAACCATGGCTGAATAGTAGGCTTAGAGATTCCTCTGAGCCTGGGCCCATTTGCACAGCCCCCCGCGGAAGCATTCCTTCGGCGCAATCTGCACTGCGCCGCTAGTCAACGCCACCCTGTACCGACGCAGCGCGTCAAGCACGCTTTCTAGACCGGCCCGCCTTAGCAAGGCAACGCCAGACAATGTCTGCGCGGCCTTCTTGAGTTCGGTGGTGTTGTGGCGGCCGACTTTGCCGACTCGGCGCAAGTTGTTTTTGCTGTGCCTTCGCGTCGATTCGGCGCCATTGTCCCCCGCCACGAGCTTGAAGCACAGCTTCGTTTCCTGGACACCTGGGGTTTGCCGCGGCAGCGGCGGCGCAGCATGGCAACCGTCTCCCGCGACGGCTTGCTTGTCAGCAGGCTCGTGACGGGCGTGAACACGTTGTTCTGGTGGCCCATTCCAGAAAGCGCAGCTGCGCCGATCTCGTCGGCCGCGGAATGGAACGCGCGCGCGCCGTCTGGGGCCAACGCGGTGCCAAGGCCCATGGCGCCGACGAGAGGGCCGCGAACCCCCTCGAGGGATTCAGGGTTGCCGGGGCCACGCTTCGCCGAGGAGTGCCTCGCTGGCCAGGGGTGCGCCGATTTTCTTGGTTTGCGGATCTTGCTCCCGAATTCATTTCAGTGTTCGGCCCGCCCTCACCCCCAATTTGTCTTGCTGTTTGGAGGGCGCGCCGTTGTTTCTCAAAGCTCTCCACTCGGTTTCATTTAAGTTAGGGCAATATTGAAACCAAATGGACATCTTGGAGCCATCTTAGAACTGCATGTGGCCCATAGTGGGGTCAGATTGGGGCCACGGTTGGGTCACATTGGAGCCGCCCCGGCTTTCTCGGGTCATATGAGCAGCATCGTTGGGCCGCGTTGTTGGAGTCATGATGAGACCGCGTTGAGGTTGCGTTGGGGCCATCTTGGGAGGAACTGGGGCCGTCTTGGGGCCACCTTGAAACCATCTGCCGCCGGGCCACAAGAGATTTCCAAGAGGGCCCCAGGCGGCCAAAGACGGCGTCAAGAGGAACCCAATATGGCCCAGGATCGACATGTAGGTATTTAGGATCAAGGGCTTCTGTCGCACACCGATGTACTAATACGGTATATGTTCAATGATGACGATGGTGATGATGATGTTGATGATGATGAGGATGAGGATGACGGTGATGGTTGCGTTGACACCAACACGGTTCCATACCGTACATATGAGTACTAGAGCGAAAGATTTGTACTTAGCGTGCCTTACTTGTGGCGCTGAAATTTCCGACCGTCGCATTAGTGATCCAAGTGGTTTTGGGGCCCAAAGTGAAGAGACTGCAGGCGCGCGGGGAAAAAAGTCAAGAAACTGACTCCGGCATCCGACACAGTCGCCTTTCACGCGTATCACACCATGCATAGGTTATGATTGATGCCGTGGCGTACGTCGGCCAAAGGGCCCAACGCCTCGAGATCGGGCTAGGCTGCGTCATGGGTTGCGCCCCAGGTGCCAGCGCCAAAGCGTGGCGATCGGTCGCGTCCCTCGTTGAGCTAAGGGAAGCGGAACGCGACGCTGCGCGCGCCAACAGCAGCCGCAAAGAAGGGGCCTCACCCGACGATGTCCACTGGGGGCCAGGGAAGCGCCGCCGTCGTTGACCGATGGACCCACGAGAGCGGCGGTACTTACGACATTGCCATTGCTGAAGAGGGCCGCAGGAACTCACGTGCAAAAGACATCGTTTGGTAGTTATGGCCCCGTGTGAAATCTTGTGGCTCGCATATCAGTGAAGACCTGCAGGTCGGCCGCAAGAGCCCAGGTGACGATGCGAGCGGCAAGGCGCTGATCGCTGACATCCTCGAATATTGGACCGAGCAACTTGTGATTGAGGACTCGCGTGCGCGCGTGTTCCGGTCGCCCGAAGACGTGGATGTCGTTTTTTTGTTTTGCTGACATGAAGCGCGTCCTTGGGAAGATGAAGTGGGCAATTTTCAAAGAGGCGCGTGCTGGAATGCAGCGCGCAGCGGCATTCCGTTCAGCATGGCGCTGACGACGCGCAGCTTGCAGCTGAAATGTCCAGCTTGCAGCCGGCCCCGGGCGCACGCAGCGCGCGGCCGCCGCCGTTTCAGCGCGTGGCTGAAAACGCGCGGCCCGCAGCTGCATCCTCCAGCGCGCAGTCGGTTGTCGGGCGCGCGCGGCGCGCGGCTGCCGCCGAAGCGACGCGCAGCTGAAATCGCTCAGCCCGCAGTTGCCAAGGTTCTCTCCTCCTCCAGACCAGTAGCCAAGCAGCCCCCTGCGCGTGCTACCCCTAACCCGGGCAGCCAGTTCGCGCCGATCCTTGCGGGGGCTACTCGCCAGGGCGAGCCCTCGCTAGCATCCCCTACTAACAGGCTGCGAGTTGGGGCGCAACCCAAACAGACCTGGCAGTGTGGTCGGTGATCCTCCTCCTCCTCCTCCTCCTCCTCCTCCTCCTCCTCCCCCACCTCCTCCTCCTTCTCCTCCTCCTCCTCTCCTCCTCCTCCGCCTCTCTCTCCTCCTCCTCCCCTCCTCCTTCCTCCTCCGCCTCCTCCTCCTCCTCCTCCTCCTCCTCCTCCTCCTCCCCTCCTCCTCCTTCCTCCTCCTCCTCCTCCCCCATCCTCCTCCTCCGCCCCCTCCTCCAGCCCCCGCGAACGGGCGCGCGCGGCCCGCGGGCCGGGCCCCGCCGCGGCGCCGCGACGGGCCGAGAGAGCGCAGGGCATGCCCCAGGGGCGCGATCGCCTGGCAAGTGCGCCCGCGGCCCTTCCTCGCCAGCATTGGATTCCGTGGTTCTCTAGCTGTTTTGAGATAGGCGGTGCCGTTTTCTGGCGCGACCCTTTTGCTTCGCTGGTCGCTTTGGTTTCCCTGGTTTCCGGGCGCGCCCCCGCGGGCCGCCGCCGGGGGGCCCGGGGCCGCGGGGGGCCGCGGGGGGGCAAGGGACCAGAA